CCCGGTCTCATTTTTTTCTCTCTCTCTCTCTCTCTTGCCGCTGTAATCGCGGCTCCCTCTCCCAAAATGGCTGAATTCCCGATTTTAATTTAAAACAGCCCACCCGAAGTGGGGAGGGGAAGGGTTTTTCTTTTCGTTTTTTTTGCCAGAATCCCTTTATTTTACTTCGCTTTCTTTCCAAGAACGGGCGAATAAAAAACCAAAACGAAAAGAGGGGGGAAAAAAAGATAAGTATCCCTTCTCTGTTTGCAGAAATAGGTTTGAGGAGGGAAGGGGGGGCGCTGCAAAAAACCCCTCCGACCCCTTTCTCCAGACCTATAGGGAGGGGGCGAAAAGCTGACCCCACCGCCGAGACTTTCCCCCGCTCCCCTCTTTTTTCCTTGCCCCCCTTCCCCCCCCAAAAATAAACCCCTCGCAAGTTGGAAAGTTGGCCCCACAACCCTTACCTTCGCTCCGTAGATGTGCCCTCACTGGCTTCCTAGCCCGATCCTCTTGGGCATTTTCTGTAGGGCCCGCTCAGATCCGTTGCCTCCACCACCATCGGCAAAAGGCGGCCAAAAAAAACCCCTTCCTCCCCAAAATCCCCCCGCTTTCTGATTTTCGCCCCGGCGCGTAAAATTGAAATGCGCCCTAGATGGACTGCCGCGGTCGCTTCCTTCCCCCGTTCCTGGTCCTCTCTTGGGTCTTGGGGCTCGTGGGTGGGGGTCTCGCACGGATGGCCCCCTCCGGCACGAAAAAAACCCCAGGAAGGCGGAGGGGATCCGAACTGCTGGGGAGGAAACCCACGATCTCTGGTCTCTTGCGCTGCCTTAGTTTCCCTTGCGAAGAAGCGCGCCCTGGCTCCCGCTGGTAATCCTTGGCGATCTCCATATACAACTCAGCGTCAGGGAAAGGTACATTACCCAAGGCCCCCCTCCCCTTTCCAAGTTTCTCTCCGAGGATGTTAAAAAAGAAAAAAAAAAAAGCGGGGAGGGCGAGGAGAAAGGAGGAGGAGGAGGAGGAAGAGGAGGAGGGAGGAGAGGAAGAAAGCTATGAAACAAGCATTGTTTCAGCCAGCCTGCCCCCCCTCCGTCACTCGGAATGTCCTTCTGGGGTTCCCCATTGGCTGTCCCGCCTGCCACTCGAGTTCGTGGACATTACTTTGGCTGGCCGCCAATCTTATCAGACCAATTATGGAGCTGGGGAGGGGGAGGGGGAGGAAGAAGAAGAGGAGGAGGAGGAGGAGAAGGAAGGCGAGCAGTTTCTAGCCTTCTCTAAACCGGCTTGGCTTGAATGAGCCAGGAGGGGCGGTGGGAACTATTAAAGGGCCGTTTCTAGGCGCCCCCTTTGCCAATTCCCACCACTGCGATTCAACCTTTTCTCTCTCTCTCTCTCGTTCTCTTTCTCTCTCTCTCTCTCTCTTTCTCTCTCTCTCTCCCCCCTCCCCAACTCTTTTTTTTTCTCTCTCGTCCCTTTTCTTTCTTTCTTTTTATTCTTTTCTTCATTTTTCTTCCTCCGGTTGATCGAAACGGAGAAGGGGAAGAAGGGAGGAAGGAAAAAAAAAACATGGTGGCCTTTTTCACCGCGCGCCGCCCAGCTTAAAAACTGCCTTTCGTTTTCTCTGGCTTTGTTTTGTTTTTCTCTCATTTTTCTCTTATTTATGTTTTTTTTAAAAAGGATTTTTCGATTAAAGTAAGTCCATCAGACGGGCGTTCGTTTTTCTTTCTTTTTTTCTTTAAAAAAAAAAGAAGGTAATTTGGAGGACGGGAAGGGGGAGGAGGGGCTGGAAGGTTTTTGCATCGGCGGGAAAGGAAAGGAGGTTTCTCGCCTCCTGGGCTTTAGGGTCGGCCGCGCGTGGGGTGGCTGCGGTAGGAGGACCGCGTCCTTCTGCGTGGATTTGACATTTTTCCAGCCGGCCAGAGGAAAGCGCGCGGCGCCCCCGGTGGGGTTTTGACTGCCAGGTAAGCTAAACCGAGCACCCAATCCCAGCCTTGGGGGTTGGAGTAGGGGTGGGGGGCTTCCACCGATTTCCTCCCGGCGAAAGAGGTGGCCGCAGCCTTTCCGTGGAAGCCCCCGATCCGCATCGGAGCCCGTCTCCCCGGAACCCCGCATCAGCCGCCAAAGAGAACCGAGCCGAGATGCGCCTTGGGAGCGGAGTAAATCATCGCTTGCTTCGTTTTTTTTTCCTTTCCAAGTTTCAAGCCGAAGCGGGGCTGTCGTTGACCAAGAATTATTATACCCAAAAATAGATCTACTGTACAGAGGTTGCTTCAGGAGGGGCTTCGGCTGGAGAGGGGGGCGAAAGGAGGGGGGCGTTCTTCTACCCGAGCCAATAATTTATTGTGAGTAAATCTGTTTGCTTTTGTTAACTCTCTTCTGAAACAGTCACTTCCCTTCATTTAAACGTGGATTAAAGTCCAGCGGTCTTTGTACGCGTGTGTGATCCCAGAAACTGGGGGGGTGGGAAGGGGGGTTCTATTTTTTTCTCCTGGGTTTCATTTATGGGACCCCACCCGCCCCCAAACCTCAGCCCCTGTTCTAGTTCCTTCTAGAGCTGTTAGCAAACAAAGCTCCGGGTTCTCAAAATTCCCCCAAAAAATATTTTTGAAGGGGGAAAAAAACTTCCGTTTAACTGCGAGGAAGGAGAGAAAAATATTATCATTTTTTTTGGGGGGGGGGGAGAATATTTTAACCTTTTTTCTGTTCCCCTTCAAAAAGGCTAGAAGGGGAAAAGCGACCCTCCCCGCAAAAAAATGTCCTTTTTTTGTAATTCTGGGACATCATCCGTTTTCCCTGCGGGGGTGCCATTCGGATTCTTTTTTTCGCTTTTCTTTTTCTTCCTTCCTTCGGAAAAAAAGGAAAGGGGGGGAGGGAGAGAAGGCTAAGGCGAGGCTCCTTCAATCCGTTTGTTTGCACGGGAAGGAATAATAAATAAAAGGGAGGGGGGGTTCTACAGCAAGCCGTGGTGGAGGGATCCCGAATCAGTTGTTTTCCCGGCCATATACATTTATTTTTTGGCCTCGCTTTTCCCCTTCCAGCCTTCCTGGGAAGGGGGGAGGGAGCAGAAAAAAGGTTAAAAAGCCCTTTCCTCACTTTTCACCTTCCAGCCTTTCTGGGGGGGGGGGGCAGAAAAAAAGATTAAAAAGCATTTTATTTTATTTATTTATTGCAAAATATATATCTTTCTCTCTCCTCCTTCCCTTCGCAGCAAAACTGGGGGGTTTTCCCGCTTCGCTTTTGGCTTAAATACACCGTGGCAGTTTAATTCTTAAGGAAAACAAGATTGGACTTGGGATAGGCGAATGATTCATTTTTTCCTTTCGTCTAGCCTCGTTTTCTCGCTCTCTCCCTCCCTCCTTCCCTCTCTCTCTCCTTTCAAGCATACCAACGATCGCTCGTAATCCGCCTGTATTTGCATACAGGCTCCCCGCGGTTTCCCCGGCGGGGGGGGGGAGGGGAGGAGAGATGGAAGAAAAATGATCCTCTTTGGGGTTAAGGACACCCTACCCTCCTCCTTCCCTCCCCCCCTCCCTCCACACGCCCCACTTCGGGCTGGCCCCTCTCGGGTTTCAGTGCCCTGTTTTAGCCCTGTCTTTTCGGCGCTTGGAGTGGCGGGTTCCTCGCGCGGAAAACCCGCGGCTTGGCCCTTGGTTCGCCCACGGGGCGTGGATGTCCCTTGCCAAATAAAGCAAATAAAATAAAAAGCGATGGAGAAAAATGCGTCTCGGGGTTATTTTTATTTCTTTCTTCCCCCCCCCTCCCCCGAATTTCTTTGCGGGGGAACCGGAGCAGAATTAAAGGCGTGTTTTGGGGGAAGGGGCAGCTGGATTTGGGGAAGGGGCGAAGAGGAACCGGAGAATGAAACCCTCCTAGAATTTTTTGGCTAAAATGGGTTTAGTTCTGGGGGGAGGCGTGTTTCCTATTTTTTCCTTCTTTTCTTTCTTTGTCTCTTTCTCTCTTTTCTTCGCCATGTAGCCGTTTCCAATTACCCTCTCTTCCCGAGGACGGTTTCAAGGCCGCCCTTCAGTTGGGAAGCAGACAGGAGGAGGAGGAAGACACGAAGGCATTGGGGGGGGGGAGAGAAACCGAGGGAGAGAAAGGTGAGAAAAAAATAGCCACCGAAAACAGGAGCCTCAGCTGAAAAGGAAAGAAGGAAGGGAAAGAAAGGGAGAGGGAAAAAAGAAAACAAAGGCGAGGCTCCAAAGAATTGATTTTAAAAAAAAACGTGTCCCCCCCCCACTCCCTCCGCCCCGGGAGGAGGAAAAGCTGACGATTTGGCAACGGAGCCTGATGGCCGGGCTCCAAATTAGCAAGGATCAACGAGAAGGAGGTGTTAAGACGGGGGGGGGATGGGGGGGAGCTTCCCCGCCCGGTCACAAACAACGCCCTCCCCCCCCCTTCCCCGTTCAATTGCCCCGCACGCGGAAAAAGCTTGCCAGAAGATCTGACCCGCGCCCGGAGCTGGCTCAGGACGGGGTGGGGGGGGGAGGTGTCATTTCGCTCGCGTGTTATTGATGAGTGGTGGGTGGGTGTGTTTGAAATGTTGTTTTTCCCAAGGCTCCCCCTTTTTCCTCCTCCCCCCCCCCCGGGGGCTATGCGATTCTTGCAGAGTTTCGCAGCGGGAGAGGGAGCCTTCCCTTCCCACCCAAAACCGCCGCGCAAAGGCGCCCTCAAATCTTCGGCTTGGGAGAGTGGAGATCATCTAGCCGCGCCCCCTTTCCTCGGCGCAGACCTTCCCGGAGAAAAAATATCGACCGATTTTTTTTTCCCCTTCCACTCCCCCACCCCTTTCAAATCTCCCAAGGAATGGGGGTGGGGAATCCTCCGTCCTGGACGCTGATCTTTTACGCAAAACATCCACTTCACACTCTGGGCATGGCGCTGGGTGGGACTTGAAAACATCTTTTCACCCGGAAAGTCGGTCGAACCCTGCGGGGCCGCGTTTTAAGTCCCCGGTGGACAAAAAAAAAAAAAAGAATAAAAGCAACTTGGAATAAATAAATTAAAAAAAACAAACTATGTTCGTCGGAAAAGGCGCTAGCCAAATCCTGATATATTTTTTTTCTCCCAGCGTTTCATTCCCGCAAACTTGGAGACTCTCCCGTGGGGGTTATTTGGGGGGGGGGTTTAGAGGAGGGGAGTGTATATCCAACCCTCCCCAGCCTCTCATTAGATTAATGACAGCCCCCTCCTCTCCACGGAGCCGTTTGGAGAACCGCGCCCGCCTCTCGTAAAAGCACCAAATATAGAAATCACGAGTTCTATCCAAGTCTTGCGTCCATCTGTCTTGCATGGACGTCGCTCTGTCCTTCCAACAGACCTTTCTTCTTCCTTCTGTAGTTTCCCCTGGCCCTTCTCCTCCTCCCCCCGCAGGTTTGGGGTAGAATTAGAAGAAAGGGGGGTGCTTTTTTTTAACAGCCCATTTCTTTTACGCGCGACCCGGGAAAAGAGGTGGCCGGATTCCCACGGCGCGGCGCCTCCGTGGAAACCTGGCAAAAAAAAGGCAAGAAGGAGGAATGAGAAGAGAGAGTGGGGAAGAGGGGAAGGGGAGAAGGGGAGGGGGGAGTTAACAACCTTTTTCTCGCCCCGAGCTCGTTCCTAGTAAACAACGCCAGAAAACAGGGTGACTGTGTTTTTCCCGTGTTTTTCCGTGTCTCTTTGCGCGCGACCCCCTCCCGTAGCACCCCAACTTTCCCCTCTCCTCTTCGGAGAGAGCAATTGTAAATCAGCCTTCTCTCTCTCTCTCTCTCCCTCCCTCCCTCCCTCCCTCCCTCTCCCCCTCTCTGGAAGCCAAGATCCAAGGGGAGGGATCCACACGAGAAGGGGGGGGGAGATAAATTTAAATTAAAACACGCACGCACGCACCAGTGAAGAGCCAAAACTCGAGCTACGAAGCAGCTTCCCCGCGGTTGGGTAAGAGGTCGGGAGGAACGCGAGGGGAGTGGATGGGTGGGTGGGGGGCGTCTTTTGCCTTTCGAAAGCCGAAGCGAGCCCACCAAGAGGGGGGGGAGGGATCCTACTGGAAGCCATCTTGTGAACTGGGGCTGGGTGGGGAGCTAAAAGGGAAGGCGGCCTTTCTGGGGCGGGGGGGGGAGAGAAGGGGGGAAATGAGGATTTTGGAAAGTGGTCTCCTTCCCCTCCTCCCCGCAACCCCTCTGGGCTGTATCTGCCCTGCGCTTGTGCGTCGCGGTCCCGGTTAGTAAATAGGAACGAGATTTGGCATCGGCTGGTTGGGAGCTAAAATGAATTGGAAAGCTTCGGTCTCTTTAGCCTCCGCCGGGCTATTGAAGGCGGCTGGAGGACCTCTGCTTGAGAAGCAGAACATCAAGTTATCTCCTTCCCTACCTTTCGATTCCCCCCCCCCGCTGGATTATTTTTCCCTCGCCCCCTACTTTCTTCCTCTAATTTCTAGTGTTCTAAAAAAAAATTTCTCTGCTTTGTATTTATTGTTATTCTATTTTGATCTCCTTCCTATTCATCTCTCTCTCTCTCTCTCTCTCTTTCTCTCTCTCTCTCTCTCTCTCTCTCTCTCTCTCT